AACCTGAGGTTTTCAAGGTCAGTGCTGGGAAGTGGTGGATGGGAGCCACGTTGCAGCTGGAGCAATGCAGCTCTGCTCAGGGATAATGGGGTTCCCATTCCCAGCTGGTAAACGTGCAAATCATTTTGTATCAGATGGAACAGCAGCAGCTCCATAGAGTGGTCTGCTCTCTGGAGTAGTCTGGGATGGGCAGAGACCTACATCATCCGGCCTCTGAGCAATGCAGAGGATGTAGAAATCTGGGTTTCTCATAGTCAGCAGCAGTTAAACCTAAGGGGAACTCCTAGTCCTCTTTCCGAGGCTGGATCCTGGCAGGAGACAGCCCCTGCAGCCTGAGGGTTCTGCAGGCTTGGGAAGAAAAATGGGCATAGCATCAATGAGAATTCCATGGTGAAAACTTCAGTGAGAGATAAAAGCCATAGAAGAGTTTTTGGGACTGAGGTAGTAATGCCAGGGTTGCAAAGGCAGAAGGAGCAAGAACCCCAGCAGGGTCTGGCGCAGGGTATGGCATGGAGGCCTCACAGCCTGGTGCTGTGAAATGTGGGTAGCTGGGTGAGAGCAAGTCTTTAGATGCAGGGGATGGCAGAGGCACTGATGTGGCCCCCTGAGGGGCTGTGCAGAAGGAAACCATTCACCCCAGGAGTTACCAGCCCCAGGTACTGTGCAGAAGCATCCATCACCCCGTGCTGAGCAAATGCTGGAGGATCAGCCCGCAGGCTCTCCACAGGTGCAAATCCACACTAGCCTCACCCTATAGAGAGGTTTTCCTTTTGCCTGTTGTTTTCCTGCACCTTTCCTCAGTTGCCATATCCTTTCTTCATCGCTCCCAACTCTTCAACAATCTTCCATGCACAAAATCAGGGTGAGGCACCCTCTTTCTTTCAGGATGGACCCTACGTTACCCTCCCAGCTGTATCGACAACTGCTCAAGCCTGTACCCTTCCACAAAGCAGGAGCTCAAACTTTGCTCTCATCCTTCTCCCAGCTGCCACTGTTCTTGAGGCCCTCCAGCCACCCAGAGACATAAAAGATGCATTTGCAGATTTTTAAAATTAAAACCATCTATACAGCCAGTGGGAAGGGATCAGCTTATTTGGTTGCTTAATGAAATATAAAGATTATTTTAACCAGTGTAAGCACTATTCGACAGCTTGTGAAACACAGTGGTGCCTTGATGAATGGCTTTCTCCATTAAAAAAAAAATGCTGCATGATGTCTTTTAAATATTTAATTTATTGGGGTTGGAGTGTGCTCAGAGCTGACAGTTGAACAGCAGCTGTTTGCAGTCTCAGTTAACTTTGCTTACTAGGCTAAACAGTCTCGCTCAGTAAATTCCCTCATTTTTTTATACTGAATCTGGGACGATACATTTGCTGCACAAGTGAGTAGGAAGTTCTGCCTATCTTCTGCACCGCAGCGCACCAGGCAGTTATCACAAAAGCTGTGATGGGTATCGACTCCCATTCTGAGCCCATCATTATTAAGTGCCCTGCTTTTTATTTTCTTTATTTGATGCACTTTCTTCTAGGCCACCCAGAAGAGTTTGTTGAGACACGTGTGTAGACACAAAAGCATCTTTAAACAATCAAATAAACTGAAATCTTCCTGGAACAAGTGTTTCAGCAGTAACACTGGGCTCCAGACACAACATCCTTGACAGCATCATGAGAAGACTGTATAGTACGGGAAAACTCCTCTTCTGTCCCTCTTCATTTTTCCCTTAATGTGCCAGCTTGGTACACAACCAACGTCATGCAAGGGGGATTAGAAAAGAAACAGGCAATTCTCTGAGTTGGGAGTCAAAGATACTTGGCCTCCCACATATCTCCTGGCAAGGTTGAGCCCCTGTGTGGATTCCCCAGCGTCTATTAAGGATGGAGGTCCGGCAGCAGCCGAGGGCAGTTAATAGGTTCTGTGTCCTCAAATGGTTTTCATGAAACACGCGGGAACTTAATAAGCTTTGAGACCTCCACCCTGCTGGCCAAAGCTGGTGGTACTGGCCAGCTCTATCCCAGCTGAAACCAGGACACCAACCAGCTCACAAGTTAGGGGGTGGGAAGGAAGGAGGCAAAATGAAGTTGCAAACCTCTGTTTCACTGCTTGTGTTGGCCAGAAAAGTCAGTCCTGCTCTTGGACTGTGAAAGCAAAGCAGTGAACGACTCTCTGGATGCTGCAGCAGTCTTGCTGACAATGCAGACCAGCTGAGCACTGCTGCCCATAGAGCCAGCTTGATGCACACCAAGTGCTGCTCTGCCGCTGACTGGGGTGGGATGAAGTGCTTTGGAAATGAAGAATGCCAAGGATGGGGGAAGGCTGCACCACAGATGCCACCAGAACCATCCAGGGTAGTGCCTGGATCTGGGACCTGCAGATCTTCCCCAGGTGACAGGAGATGTCCTCTGTGGCCGCGTCAATGGAACATGTCACTGGGACATACTCCTGTCCCTTAGCATGTGCCACAAGCAGCAAAGCTGTGCAGTCCAGCAAAGCAACGTCTCTGCTGTAATTTCACTGTGAAGCCATTATGGGGAAAATACAAATGCCAATAATGTGTTGGCATGTGAAGTCCCTCACCTTGATCAGAGAACCAGCAAACAATTTTGGCGTTGCTTAGGTCTTCTCTAAGCTTGGTTACAGCAGAGCTATGGCATTCTTGTGTTTAGGTTAGCATCTCAACCAAAAAAACCTGTTTTCACAGTGGTTCAGCTTAGAATAACATTGGCTTTCTCTCCTGTTAGAGTGAACAAAACCTTAGTAGGGTATAGTTGAAGGTTATTACTTTGTTTTGGGGTTGACTTTGCTTTTCTAAAAACTAGGGTAAATTTTGAAATGAAACATTTTGAAAATGAATTCAAAAGTAATTGCCTGGTTACCATAAAACAAAGCAGATCTGATTTTCCCCTGCTTTCCAGAACTAGCTACAAAATATGTCTCAATCACCCTTGAAGGTGTTTTTCAATAAATAAGCTATTCATATAAAAATCAACTGTCTGTGCTTAGAAGTAGGAGGTAGGGTTTTTTTTTCTTATACGCTTATATAGGATGTGGTAGGAAAGGACGTGACCGGTAACATTCTCTGGGCCGTAAGGTTGTGGCTGGCATTGCACAGAGCAAGGTGGCATGTGGGTCCCTTCCAAGTTGAGGTATTCTATGATTCTGTGTAGGTACTGGACAGCCATTGATCTTTTTTTGAGTCCAAAACTGAAGAATTGAGGCGTGAATCCAGAGTAGGTGAACAAGGAGACACAAAGCAGATGAAGGTGGCATCAAGGTGTGTATCAGACATTTGTAGTGTAACCATGCCTGGATCTGCCGCCCTCCACCAGTACTCTTGGCATTGAAATAATATGGTGGCAGAGCAGAAGGGACTGGGGGAAACAGGAATGAGGCTGAGTGCTAGATTCTCCGATTATTGGTTTATAATTACTGTGGCCTCTTTGAGAAGAAAATACTAAAGGCAACACTCACACTCACGACACAAAAACCCTCAGTCAAAATAAACCTTCCCAGAGCAATGAAGACCATTACTGAGCTGGCAGATTGTTTGACCAATCTCCAGCTGCATGGCTTCCCTCTTCTATTCCTGGGTACCGTGATGGACAGATGCTTGTGAGGGTGACAGATGCTTGCCCAGGTGTTGCCAGACCCTATAGTACAAAATTCAGCTGCTTTTCCCGAGAACTATAGCTTCGTCCCTGGATGTTAGACAAGGTCACTCCATGTTTGTGATTCCTACATCAAGGTGGTTTGGGAGAGAATGGGAATTCAGAACAGGAGGGATAGTGAGACCAACTAATTTCTATTCCTTCCTCTTCACTGTAAGTCTGTTCTCCATGGTATAACTCCTCCACAGGCAAAAATGAAGGTCTTTCCTCAGTACAGAAAGAACAACAGATAGTTGTTCATCCAAATTTTTGCTGTTCAATGCATCAGGTTTCTCCTAAAATCATGGGAGTTGAACCACCACCCTCCAGTGATCAAACTGTTTTCTAAGAGGTTGCCTAGATAACCTGTCTGCTTTCTTTAAGTTAGTCCAGCTGGACCTCTTTCTCTGAATGTTCATTCATTGCACTGACTTTCCAGACAACAACTTGCTGATGTAAACAGTGTTTTAAAAATTTTCTTTTGTGGCAAATGTTTCACAACTTCCTTTCTGATGTCTTGCAAACTACAGAAACGGCATCCTGGAGGCCCTCAGTCATTTATAACAGGGATGAATGAAGCATCTCTCAGATTTTGAGATCAATATTAGCTCAGTTTTACAGATGATCTGTAAGGAAAAATAGCTTAAAGTTTCATGCAGAGCACACAGTAGAAAAAAAGCCACTATCTTTTTGAAATAATTTCCTTGCTATTGAGCTATAAAATGCCAATATTTATTGCAAACCTTAATTCCCTATTTAGCCATAACATTTTTGGTCCTATTATGCTGTAGGTTTATTTTCTTTTACACCATATGGTTTGATTTGTTTTTTTGTTTTCTATATCATTTATGTTTTTAAAGAAAAACCTTAAGAAAAATGACTGGAAACAAATTATTCATGAGTGGGTTCAGAAAAGAAAGATTATTTGACATTATATCAATGGGATTACGAAACAGCCCACTGTAGGCAATGATAGGGACAAAATCTCAGCTAGTCCTGCGATAGAGCTAGGTCGGTTCATCAGAAGTCGTAATAATACGATAAATTTTATTATGGTATGGAAAAAATATCCTGTCCCATCTTTTTGTTCAGAATATCATGAGTGGGATATAGTCAGACACTGGTCTCAAAACTTGGAAGCCAGACTGGTGTCACTGGTGCTTTAGGTCTACAGGAGGTATTTCGATTCCTGTCCCAGAATCTGTTGGAGTTGGGAGATTGAAAGTGAGCCTTGCATGCAGGAGTTTAAGTTTGAGCTCAGCATTTCTAAAGCTCTGCTGAGACACCAGGACACTGGAATAGCACGTTCCTAAGCACCTCTCTCCTCCGGCTGCTGTTTTTCAGGTTTATGTCACCATGCAGCACTATGGAGTGAACGGTTACTCCCTCCACGCCATGAATTCGCTGAGCGCCATGTACAATCTCCATCAGCAGGCAGCTCAGCAAGCCCAACATGCCCCTGACTACAGGCCCTCGGTGCATGCCCTCACCCTGGCAGAGAGACTGGCTGGTAAGAACAACTCATGGCTTTTGCTGTTCCCTGGAAAAAATACATTGTTGCTTGCACTAAGTGACACTCTTCTTCGGGAGTTGGCGCGGGACATAGCCAACTGGCATGGTGTGCTCCAGACTACTGGCCATGTGGCCAAGCTCTGCAGGTGACAAATGCCCTCCAGTGTTCGCTGCCAGTGGACCACTGCACATTGCTGCAAACTGGCCTTTGACAGCCGGGGAGCCAGGGGTGAGAAGGGGCACAGCCCCACTATATGGGATTGAAAAGAGAGAATTAAAAAGACACTGAAATATGTTCTAACAAGAGAACAAAAAATAGCATAAAATTTTACTTTCTTGTTAGGAAATAATAGCACAATGAATATGAGCACGCAGTGAACTGGATTCCCCCACCAAGGGGCCCAGGACTCGTATCCCCTGACAGCTGTCTCCTGCCATCCCAGACCATAGCTTGTTCTTCCATGTTGCCCCTTCTTGCAACAATTTTCCATTTCTTGTCCTACCAAACACTTTCTTTCTGGAAAACAATCTTCATTTGGATCTTCTTTGGGTCTCACTTTGACCAATTTCTTTCTAGGGATCCTAGACGTTGGCTTGGGTGATGCTTTCTTGAAGGTCCTGCTGGCTCCCTCTCTGTTGCTTTTGCATTCCATAAAAGAGCTTTTTTAGGCTCAAAGGAAGTCACATGTGACTTTACCCAGAGAATGTTATTTACACAGCATTGCTGATGGTGGGACAGTGGACAGGAGTTGCTGCTCCAGAGCGGCTGATCTGTTTTTCTGTGTTCAGCCGTGAGTATAACAGCACTACAACAATACTGTCATTAGAAGGAAGTGCAAAATCCACAGATAGTATTTCATGATTTGGTAGGGGGAATTGTTCAAAAATAATTGATGGAGACCTGAGAATATTTGGTATGGTAAGGCACATGTATCTGCTTTACATTTCAGCCTACCACAAAACACCCAGATCTGGCTGAGATAATCAAAGACTACAACAATGCAAATGGTCAACAGCTGCAACATCGCCGTTCTGGTCAGGGCTTGGATGCAGTGTCGTAGAGCGGACCTGACAACTAGTATACTGAAGTTAAAGCAAAAAGTTACATAGATGTGATTCTAGAGACCTTCCCAGAGTGGAACGGTCTTCCCTGACTGTCTGAAAATTACACATCTGCTCTAAGATAGCTTTCTGATAGTTGTCTGATATTAAAGGAAAAAATAATGTGGCGTGACTCCTTCCAGCCTAGAGTAAGTGGAAAAAATTATCTACCCAGACAACTTCAGTGTGCTAAATTTAAGAGACATGGGCTTAAGCCAAAATAAGGATGCAGAAGTTTCAGGCTGGTCCTCCCAGGTGGGTAGTCCATGAAGACATGGTGCTAAAGGTGTCGGACTCTTTGGATCAATGAACCACAGTTGACTCTCAAATCTTCATGCCAGCAATGTTCCCTTAGCCAGTTACTAGTAGTGACGTCCTTAACATTGTTCCTCAGACCACTCACTGTGGCCTGTGGGATGTCTGGGGAGCCGTAGGGCAGAGCTGGGAGTCACTGTCCTCATTGAATAAGAACTAAAGTGGGATTAAGGAGACCTACTGCTGGGCTGAGAGTGATGACAGGTGGGCACTTTCCTTGTCCTGGTCGTCCATCCCCTCTTTC